GCGGCTGGGGACACGGGAAGCCCGGGTCACTCCCTTTCCCGTCAGCCGGACCAGCCGGTCTGTGCTCGGAACACCAGCCTTTCCCGCGGACGCTGGCGGGATCAGATGTGCTGCTTTGCTTGCCCGTTTCTCCTTCCTGCCTCATGGGGGGCTCGGGCCCCACCCCCAGTGGCTGTACTCAGCGACCCCGGCTGGCCACGCCTGCACTGTTGTGTGAGTGCACTCCCCTTGTCTATGCGGGAGTGCATCAGGTGTAGCCCTGCCCCGGGGCCCACAGCGGGGGCCTCGGCCTGGCTGTGGTCGGGGAGCGGGGGTCCCAGGTGCTGTGGCCGGCAGGCTGCAGGCCCTCAGCCCGGGGTTCAGAGGGCCTGTGCTGTCCTCAGGGAGGCCATCACAGTGGCCAAGGCGCGTCTGCGGCCCGAGGACCCGGTCTTGAAGGACCTGTACCTGAGCTGGGGCGCCGTCCTGGAGCGAGACGGCCATTACGCTGTGGCCGCCAAGTGGTGAGCAGGGGGCCTGGGCCCGGGGGAGTGGCGGGCCAGGGCAGGGCGGGCTCCTCTGAGCCGCTGCTGTCCGCAGCTACCTGGGGGCTGGGTCACCATACGATGCTGCCAAGGTCCTCGCCAAGAAGGGAGACGCGGCGTCCCTGCGCACAGCGGCCGAGCTGGCGTCCATCACGGGCGAGAGGCAGCTGGTGGCCTCACTGGCCCTCCGGTGTGCCCAGGAGCTGCTGCTGGCCAGGAACTGGGTGGAGGCCCAGGCTGCCCTCGCGCTGCACGAGAGCCTCAAGGTCAGTCTGCTGGGACCGGGGCCCACCCAGTCTGCTGGGCCAGGAGGGGGGCGAGGGTGGCCTCACAGCAGCTGTCCGCCCCATCCTCAGGGCCAGAGGCTGGTGTTCTGCCTCCTGGAGCTCCTGTCCACGCACCTGGGCGTGGTGCAGCCCCCGGAAGGCGGGGGCTCCGGCTCCCACAACCCCTGGGCCGCGCGCTCCGAGGGGCCCTTCACGGAGAGGGTGACGGCCGTGTGGAGGGCTACCTTTGGCGTGGACACCCCCGAGCAGTGCCAGGCGGCATCACAGCAGCTGGAGAGCGTCAAGTACCCGCCTGCCACCAGCAACACGCCCTGCAAACAGGTACCAGCCTCTGCCCACGGCCGCGCCCCTCCACCCGCAGTGACTCCTGCCTCGCGGCCTGTCCTGACCCTGTGACTGACCCCCCAGCTCCTGCTGCACGTGTGCCACGATCTGGCCCTGGCGCTGCTGGCCCAGCTGGCGGCGGCCTGGGAAGCGGCCGTGGAGGCCCTGCTGCGCGCCGTGGTGCGGTGCCACGACTCTGGCAACTTCTACCTCGCACAGGAAGTGTGCGCCGCCGTGCTTCCCGACGGTGAGTGCCCACGGAGAGGGCACGACTCCCAGGGCCGGGCCTGGGCAGCAGGCGATGCCCATGCCAAGTGCTTCCTCCCTCCTAGGTTGTGGTCACCTCCGTGCCCTCCTGGGGCCATGCCAGGCCCCTGCTACGCCCGCACTGAAGAGTCTCGAGGCCTTCATCACCTACGGGCACCTATACGAGTTCTGGTGGGCCCTGTCCGGCACCACGGTCCCAGCCGTGGCAGGTCAGGCAGCCCCTGCAGAGCAGAACCAGGATCAGGAGACCCCCAGCCCAGTACCAACAGGACCCCACACACGCACAGAGACCGGAACTCTGGCACAGGACTCTGAACAAAAACTGGAGCCCCGAGGACCCCCACTGGAGCCGGAGCCAGAGACCCAGGAACCCCCACCGGCGCCGGAGCCCCAGGGACTCCTGCCAGAGATGGAGCCCCAGGGACCCTCGCCGGAGCCCCAGGGACCCCAGCAGGAACGGGAGTCCAGAGCTGCCCTGGAGAGGGTCCGACTGCTGGGTGCCTGCCCGGGGCTCCTGTCTGAGGCCCACGCGCAGCTGCAGGAGGCACAGCGGACGGTGACGGACGTGCAGGAGACCCTGGCCGAACTGATCCGCCGGCACCAGAAGAGCCAGCTGTGCCCAGAGCAGAACGCGGAGCCGCCTCCCGGGTAAGCGGGGCCCTGCCCGACTCCCCCGGCCCACGCCCGGGTCTTGCCTGACAAAGACCCCCTGGGACAGCTCCCAGACCTGCCAGTTCCAGCTCCGAAACCTGATGCTGCTGATGCAGCGGGGAGGGGGTAAGGCGCCGACACCCCCACTCCAGAGGGTCCCTGAGCATCGCTGCAGGTGGCCCACAAGGAAAGACATATCTGGGGGCCTTTCTGAGCTCGCTCCCACGCGGCCACGGCTGGGCGTCGGAGGGCTAGGGAATCGGGGCTCCTGACCTCTGAGCTGTTCAGGACGCACTTCTGGGGCGGGAGCACAGGCACTGGGAGTGCTGGTCAGGCACCACGTGTCCCCTGAGCCCTGCCGACATGTCCCCAAGCAGAACCGTACGCTTCCCATAGAATGCACAGGACGTCGGTCCTCAGCCCCGAGGCTGAGGGGGACTTGTTTCGGGGTCTCACCTGTCTCACACTTGGGGTCCTTCCAAGAACTGGGTTGAGGAATGAAGGTGTTTTCGAAAGCATTTTCTTCTCCTGGACTTCTGTCTTCAAACTGAAAGGGCCGGGCCGGGTCCCAGGTCATGAGTGAGACCGGAACCTCATGCTGCTGCTTGGTGTTGGCAGGAAAGAGGAGGAGGAGGAGCCCGCGTCCCTGCCCGAGCTAACCAGGCGGCTCACGGAGGCCAACGCGAGAATCGCGGCGTTTCCCGAGAGCGTTAAGGTAGGACATCGCCCGCTTGGTGCCTCTGAACTCGGGTGTGAGGGCCATCGTCCACTTCGTCCCATAGGCACGGATGTCGCTTCCGGTCCGCCGAGGTTAGGGTGACTCTTGAGCGGGCTTTTGATGGGCAGTTTCCCGCCGGGTGGGTGAAGCTGGAGCCACCTGCGTGCTGGGTTCCCGCGCGCCGTGTCACTTGGAAGGGCTGCAGGCCGCCTGCCCCGCTCGGGCCTCCTCTCCCAAAGGGCGTGTCCGTGGGTGGGACCTGGGCTGGGCCTGCTCTGTACCAGACTGTGTGGCCCTGCAGGTCTGGCCCTTCCCCGACGTGCTTGAGTGCTGCCTGGTCCTGCTCCACGTCTGCGCCCAGAGTCCGGCCTGCCTGGCCCAGGAGACGCAGCAGCAGGCCCGGGAGCTCCTGCTCAAATACGGCAGCTGCAGAGCCTACCGGCGCCACCGCCAGCCCTGCTGACCACCCCCCGCGGGGCCTGTCCCGCCCTCCTGCCAGCCACGGTCACTCTCAAGCCTTAGCCGGTCTCACCAGACGGGGTCCAGGACCTGCCCACGGTGCCACCCTCTCCGCGTGCTCCTCCCTCCTGCCTGCCCAAGGCTCCCCGCAGCACCCGCCGTGACAGAGAAGGGACCGAAGGGACCGCCTGCCCGGCCTCACGGACGCTGCAGTAGCCTGGACACCGGTCACTTCCAGAACCACTCACTCACCTGCCTCCCAGCCCCTGGTTGGGATCGGGAATCGGATAGCTCAGGAAGAGTCTCCTGTCCTTAACCCCGCCTGATCGTTCGCCCTTGAGCAGATTAAAGCCACTGAGACTGGAAGGAGCCTTTGTTTCTCTGTAACAGCACCGTGGCCGCTCTTCCCCCGCAAATGACCACCTGGCCACCTGCGCTCTTTAGCCCTTGACCTTTGGTCCCCTGCACATCTGGAAATGCCACATGGCAACATGATGTTGCCAGGACGGGTGTCTGTTGCCATTCCCGGGAGCGCTCCCAGGAAACGGCAGCGGTTTTCAAAAGTCTGTTGGAGTCTCCAGCTTTTCCGTTCTCACAAATCTTAGGATTCGAAACATCCTTACCTTCCCCTCCTCCCCAGAAAGGGGGCACACAGGGGTCTTTACACATCTAGAAAAGCTTCCGTTGGGGCCAGAGACAGGACAGCAGCTGGGGTGGGGGGCACTTGCTTTGCAAATGGTCAGCTCTGGCTCAATACCTGACACCAGAGGGTCCCAAGCACCCACCAGGAGTGGCACTCAGGAAAGGCAGGAGGGACGGGAGACGCTGCCGGCTGGACGGCACAGCCAGCAAAGACCAGACCTCTTAAAGAAGACCAGTGGTTAAAAACAAATCTTTATTTTACAAAATTAAAAACATAAATAGTATTTACAGGCATCTTAAATACCCGCTTGTAATACTTGACATTTCAGGCGAATCTTCCGTCCACTCCAAAGGCAGACCTAGCCACCTACTGCATCAAGTTCTCACTTCCACCCACTGGGGAGGGGGCTGCTTCTTTGGGAGTTGTCCATACTGCAGGCGTTTAGAAAATACCATGTCATTTTTAAATGACGAGTTTTTAAAACCCAGAGTCCTGGCTTCCTAGCTACCCCAGGCTTGGTATGTGACTGCAAGAGACCTGGGCGAAACCCCATCTCTCCTGTCCGAGAGATCCCCAGTCCCCTGGGCTCCTGGATGAGCACCTGAAATCTTGTGATGGGAAACAGGCTCAAATCCACGGTGACTTCGAACAGCCTGTGTGACGGCCAATCTCCGGGAGCCAGCGGAGTGCAGAGAAGACCCTGGAGGGGCTGAATGCCCGAGGGTCCTTGGGAGAGGGGACAGGGCCAGCCCGAATCTGCTTTCAGACGTGTTTTCCATCTGGCGTCCTCATTGCAGCACCAAGGATTTCATTTCATAGAGTGGAGGCCAGCACCCAGGGGTCGCGGAGCTCCAGCCCTCAGCAGGACATGGGGTGGCCGGGACGGAGGGGCCAGGTCTTCATCCTCAGGCAGGCGCCAAGTTTCAAAAGAAACAGAAGGACAACAGGGAAGAGTTAGAGACATTTTACTCGTTTCTGACTGGTCCTGGGTGTTTGAGACGCGTCAGGGGAGCCGTGGACGCTGGCGGCAGGAGCAGCCGGAGACGTGCCAGCAGACCGCCCGCCCTCCCGCTGCGTTGCTGGCAGGCCGACCCACAGGGCACAGCCGAGCGGTGGGGGCGGCCGGGGCCTACTGCTGCATGTTGTTGATGAGCGCCAGGATGCTCATCTTGTCGGGAGCGGAGTCCACGTCCTCGTTCTGCTTCTGGGCCACTCCCGTGCCCAGGCCGTAGAGCCGGCCACAGTACTTGGCGTCGTCGATGCTGTCCTCAAAAAACAACTGCAGGACAGGACAGAGAAGCCGGGTGAGAAGCACGCTGGGTGTCAGGGTCTCGCAACCCCGCGCTCTCAGGCCCACCCTCCCGCCCGCCTCTCCACGCCCTTCCGACAGACCCCACGCCATCCCGCTGTGGATTCCACCGTGCGGGTGCGGCGCAAGAACCCCTCCCCCATGACCAGCCACGGTGCTGCCACCTCCAGCCCAGCCCCACCCTCCCGAGCCACGCGCCGGCCGCCGTCGGCTGTGTTCTTGCGCTGCCTCCACGCTCGTCTCCGCTGTCACGCAGCCTGGCAGCCCCGACCTGCTCTGCTGGCTGTATGCACGCGTCCGCCCGTGGACAGTGCAGAGGGCTCCTCGTCCCTGGGTGCAAGTGGTGTTTCCGACACATGGCCAAGCGGTCTCCACTTCTGCCTGCGCCTGACCAGCTATGGACTCAAGACGAGGCCTCCTGCATCTTGCCGGGCTACGGACGCGCGAGTTCTGTGTGTGCTCCCTGGCACGGCACAGGACCCTGCCGGACCCCTGCGAGCTGTGCTGGGGCGGGCGGGTTTCCGCGCGGAACATCAGGAACTTCAGGTGTTGCGGACGCTGCTTTCTGCGCCATAGCCGCTCACTTCTGACTTGGCTCCTCGGTGACACCCCACGTACGGGCTCTTCTCTGGGCTCCAGATCCACGACGCAAACAAGCACAGGTTTGCAGCGGGGTCTGGACCGAGGGGGCTGCCTCACCAGTGCTGGGAGTCTCCCGGGGTCCGCAGAGTCTGGGGTGACTTCGGGACAGGGTGGTGCAGCGACAGGGTCCATCTGCTGCTGCTGAGGGGCTGTGACTGGCCGTGCCCGAGGGCCTTCTGATACCAGAGTCGGCGAGTGCAGGGCAAATGCTGGAGCCCTGTCCTAGCGCCCTGCCCCTGCTCGTCTTTGAGTTTTTCACAAGTCTCTCACCAACTCGGTTAAATTTGAGTTTTAGGTGATTCATTCCTTTTGATACAACTGTAAATGGGACAGTTTCAGTTTCTCCTTCCGATGATACAATATCGAGAAACGCAGCATTTTTCATTACAGCGAAGCTCAGAGCTTACTCCTGGCTTGGCCTGCAGAGATCACTCCTGGCCATGCCAGGAATTGAACATGGGCTGCAAATACCCCCATACTATCCCTCTGACCCCCAACCTGACCGAATCTGTTCGTTAATCCTCAGTTTTGTTGTGGCCTTGGGATTTCCCAAGCAGATCGTGTGCGGAGGCCATTTTGTGCTTTCCTTCCCAGTGTGGGGGGTCCCGGAGGCGGAGGCCTCTCTGCCTGACTGCCCGAATGAAAGCAGCACACCTGGCACTATCCTGGCCCCCTGCACAGTGCCATGCCGGCTACGGGCACCCAGGAGCCCCTCGTCCCACCAACAAGCCTCCTCCCGGCAATGCCACAGCCGCGGCTTTCACAGCGTCCTCGACGTCCGGCAGAGGGGCCCGGCGCGGCCAGCCTTACCTCCTTCATCCGGAAGAAGGCCATGCCAGTGAGCAGGGAGTCCGAGCCGGCCTGGTGCTGCCTCCCAATGCGCTGCAGGTCCAGCTGGTCAGCCACCTCCTGAAGGCCTCCCTGGGGACCGGGGAGACAGGTCACGGGCAGCCCCCACCCTGCTGCCCACACCGAGAAGTGCCGGAGCCCAGGTCGATCTGACCCTGACAGCAGATCCCCTGGGGGGTTTCCCCGGTGTGCGGGGGGGATGCCCACAGCCGGGGGAAGCCCCACCCTGTCCCAACGGACCTCCTGGAGGGCAGGGGCAGCCCAGCCATCACGGCCACCTGGCTGCACACGGCAAGCGCCGAGGAGGAGCCACTGCGTCTGCCCGGCTGCTCGGCGCCTCAGGAGCGCCCCCTACCTTGAGGTTCTTGCAGCTCTTCATCAGGTACTTCACGTCGTAGATCGATGGGAAAAAAAGGTTCAGGATGTGGAAGAACTCGTGCTCCTCTTCCGGCAAGCGAGAATCGGTGAGTAACTTGACCATGTAGCCAAAGTCGTAGCCGCTGCAAGGGGGGGTGGCTGGTGAGGCGGGGCAAGTACACCCCCCAGCTATGCTCGGGGGACTGGAAGGGACACACTGCCCAGGCGCCCTGGCAGAGAGAGGAGCACCCTGACGGCCCACCTGTGGAAGGACAGCCACTTGACATTGTCACAGAGGACCACGCCCGACGTCATCAGCAGCTCTGCGAAGTGCAGCGTGTCGATCCCTTCCTCCTCGTGCTTCTGGAACTGCAGCCCTGAGTTGGCGAGGAGATCGATGGAGTCCTGGGAGTACATGTCCTCGCTGGGAAAGAAGGGGCTCGTCAGGGCTGTGCTCGCTCAGAGTTCTGGCAAGTGCTCCAGGAATGCTCACTGAGCAGAGCCTGAGAGTACAGCGGGAGAGCGATGGTCCTGCGTGTTCCATTCCCAACACCACAGGGGGTGCCCCGAGCCCTGCCAGGAGTGATCCCTGAGCAACACCAGGTACGGCCCAGGAATTCGAAAGTCATATGCAAACCCTCTGGTAAAAGATAGAGGTTTTCCCACTGTATTACCACCGCAGTACAACCAACAGGATTAAACATCAGTCTACTTAGATGCAAAGGAAGATCTCCTGAAATCATTGTTTCGCTTCACAGACATCCCCAAAACATACACAATATACCAGGGTGCTCCCACCCTGTGAAACCAGGGAGCACCCCAGTCTCCTGCGGGCCCACAATGGCCAGCAGCAGGGCGCCAGGCTCCACATAGGGGCCCTGGCTTCCACCACAAGGCTCAGGCAATAAGCACCAGAAAACCCATCCAACCTACGTGTTCTCCGAACTGTAAAGCCCCCACTGTGGGGGTCCATCCAGAGGCGGCGAGCAGGCGCCAGGATTCAGCCCGCAAGCCCTGAGTGTGTGCTGCTAAGTAACCCGGATGCTGCACGCCAGCTCTGCCCACAGACGGACTCGCTGGTGCCCACCAACACAGTGCTCTGCTGCCCCTGGGAGAGGCAGCACGTCTGACCCCAACTGTGCCAGGGACACAGCTCCAGAACCGTGCGTGCTTCCTGCGTGTGTGTGCGGCCCACGCACACACCCCAGCGGCTCAAATGCCAACTCGACAATCCCCTGGCAGGAGGGGACCTGGAGAGCAGTGCAGCGGGTGGGCGCCGGCCCTGCAGAGCCGACCTGGGTTCCCCCCCGAGAGTGACCTGAGCACAGCTGACTGACTCCGTTCACGCCATCCCCAGGTCACAGGCCTGGGTCCTTTCAAGTCGTGGCGCGGTGAGCGTGACTGGCCTTTCTGCATTGCAGGATGACAGCCTGACAGCCCCAGGCACATGGAATCGGGATGCCTCCTCGGGCGCAGTGCCACCGTCTCGTTCCCAGAGTCTGGCGTGCAGGCGCCGCTGCCCGGGAGATTCCGATTTGTTTTCCCTAAGGTGCACGTCTTTCCAAGGGCTTCTCGGCCAAGTGTCTTGGCAGAAACATCGGTTCAAACCACCTGATCACTGTGACTAGGTTGATTTGTAAGATTGCTTTCAGAAGACTGTAGGTTGTTCCAGCCTCTCAGATGACACTACGGACCCTTCAGATTCATGGAATCAGTGTGGAACCCCGTGGGCACATAAGTCACAGACGTAAGAGCAGGAAGGCAGAGACACTTACGTCAGGTTGAACTTGAAGTTGAACTGCCAAGTATTGATTCCAGACGGATATTCTCCCTTCTCATTCGTGAATGTAAGTCCGAGCTGGATAATTTTTAAAAGGTCAACATTGCACCGTAAAAGCTGATACTGGTAATCAATGGAACTACGAAATTCGCCAATGGGTCGCACCACGACGCCTGGAAATTCTGTGTCCTGGGAAAGAAAAAATTTTCCATCAGAGTCTCAGGCAACACCTGAACTGACCATAAGCAAAACACTTCCCTCGCGGTACGTGACAAGCCCCACGCTCGAGCACAAAGATCTCTTAACATACTGAAACTTTGGGGCTTGTTGTGGGGGGAGGAGGCCTGGGGAGCAAAGCTGGGGCCTCTCACAGGCCAGGCGCATGTGTGCCCCCAGCTGGGCCAGCACGTCCAGCCGCAGGAGTCCGGAAGCTCTGCTGACTTCTGTGGCACGTGAACGTGACCGCAGAGCCGCGCGCCTTACCATGGCGATGTAGCTGTAGCTGAGCACGACCTCGCGGATCCTGCGCATCTCCTCCTCCAGGTTGCTGGCCCAGACCTCGCAGATCACCTGGCTGTTCTCCACCAGTGCCGCAGGCATCCTGAGGCCGCGGGGAGCCCGCCTGGCGGGACCGGCACAGGGGCGGGCTCGATGCGCTCAGGTCTGCAGACACTGCACGAGAGGCGACAGAACGGACCTCAGAGGCAGCCCTGGCCCGTGCGAGCTGTTCGAGATGCCCGCTGCCAAGGACGGGACCGTCCCAGTGGACACCACCACTGACGAGGAAGGCGAGGCAAGCACAGACACACCTGCCACTTCCCGCTGATGGAGTGGAAACTCGGTGGCATCTGGGAACTTCCCTGCAGGCCCCCTGGGTGCCTCCAGGCATGCCGGGGACTCCCAAGGTCTGAGAGGACTAAACTCGCTGAGGCCCGGACCAGCACAGGACGCCCGGCACCCTAACAAGGGAAGTTCCTCTTCCCCAATAGCAGAAGCCCAAGACCACCCGAGGCAAACAGCTGGGCACAAATACGTCGAGAGAGGGGTGCAACCCACCAGGAACACAACCAACCCGGGAAAAAGAGCTTGTGACATGAATGCCCGCTTTGAACTCCGGTCTCCTGAGACTATGGTAAGGGAGGAAACAATAGTTCACCAAAGACAAACAAAGCGCCAGGGATGCTGCTACCTGCCCTGCATGCACCCTGCATGCACCCGCAGGGACAGTGCACGCACTCACAGCCTGGCAGGGGCAGCAGGAGCAAGGAGCCGCAGGGGGCACCAAGGACTGGCAGCAACAGACTCTGCTGCCCCCACGCCAGCGGGGCTTCCATGCCGGAGAGCCCAGAATGTTGGGGCACGAGCTCGGGGTCCCGGGGGAAGGCTGGAAATAGGGGGCACGGTGGGGAGGTCTCCCCAGAGCTCTGCTGTCCTTTCAAGAGCAGGATGTGGAATCAGGGCTGGGGGCGCGCCCAGAGCCCACGAGGAGTGACTCCTGAACAGAGGCACGAGTGAGCACTGGAGAGCGCGGCCCAAAAGCAAACCAGGAAAAGGAGGCGCCTTTTGTCCTCAGAGGTGAGGGTCAGAGTGACGGCACGGCGGGCAAGGCGCTCGCCTGGCGCTCGGCCAGCTCAGGTGGCTCCGGCACCCCACACCGCCCGCTGGGCACCACCAGGGGCGATCCCTGAGCGCCCGGGCGCGGCCCGACGACCCTGACATGCACGTCCGGGAAACAGAGCTCCGGGCTTTCGACCGCACTGGGCACGCAGGCGGCGGCGAGCAGAGGCGCATCCCGGCGCGGTCGGACCCCGGTGCGGGACCCCCCCCCGGCGGCGCCCCCAGGCCCACCTGGGCTGACGCGGGCCGCGGACCCCGCGAGGCCGGAGTCCAAACCAGGCGCGGGAGGCGGTTCCGCCCGACTCCAAAGACTGCGGGGAGAAGAGCGGCTGGGGGCGCCCGCGGGTCTCGGCCCTTCGCTCGGGGCCAGGGGCCGGGGCCGGGCGGGGGGACGCGGCCGGCCCGACCCCCGCCCGCCCGAGACCACCCGCCCGACCCCGACCCCCGCCCGGGCCTCGGCCCGCCCGCCCCGCCGGGAACAAAGGCCGCGCCCGCTCCCCGCTGCCCCCGCCGCGCCCGCGACCCCCGGCCCCGCTCCCCGACGCCCGGCCCGCTTACCCCGACCCGCAGGCCCCGGGCGGCGGCGACCTCTGACCCCGCGCGCCCACCCGCTGCCCCGGATCCGCTCCCGGGGCCGCCGCGGGCCGGTGAGACAGGCGCCCGCGTGCCCAGAGCGGCCGCACGCACGCCCACCGGGCCGCACCGCTCTACCCGCACGGTCCTCCCGACTCGCCGGCTCCTTCTCGGTTTACGGCCGGCGCGCGCGCCCCCGCGCTCGCTCGCGCCCGCGCGCTCCCGCTCGTGCCGTCCCGCGCTCCGTGCGCGCCCCGCGGTTGCCGCGCGCAGGCGCGCTACCCAGAGGGCCTCGCGCGCGGGGGGCGGGGCGCGCATGCGGGCTGCGGGGGGCGGCGTGCTCGCGAGGGCTTGGCCGGCGGCCGACATCACGAGCCCGTCGGGCCCTTCCGCCGCCCGCGGCGGGGGCGGGGCAGAGCCGCCCTTCCGGTGGGCGGGGCCGCGCCGGCCACGCCCCCGGCCCCTCCGGCCGTTCGGCGTCGGCGCGCCCGCTCCGGGGCCTGTCCGGGCCGCGACCCCCGCCCGCCCCGCCCGGGGCCAGCACCCACCTCGCCGCCTCCGCTCCCGCGGGGCCAGGCCGGGCCCGCGCCGCGAACGGCTCGCGGTGACGTCCGCGGGTTCGGAGCGTCGTCGGGGTGACCGCCTCGGGGGGCGCGGCCCGGCCCCCTCCCCCGGCCCCAGCAGCCCCACACCCACCGTGCCCCATCAGAGACCCAGCGGCCGGCCGACCCCAGTGTCCTCCCCCCACACTCACGCCCCGCAGCAGGGGCACCCCACTTAGCGCCCGACACCCTCCCTCCCTCCGGCGATGGGCGGGCGGCAGGCAGGTGGCTGGGCACCGCCCCGAAACCCCACCCCAACTCCCACGGGCCTGCTTGGAATTTTGTTTTTTCCTGCGGTGTACACGGAGACAATCGGGCCGGAAACCGCACCCACCCTGAGCCCCTCACCCAGAACTGGGTGTTCGGTCCCAGGTCCACCACATGCGAGTCAGGTACAGCCCCAAATAAAAACTGCTTTGAGCACACAGTCCAGAAAGTTAGGCTTGTGGACCTGTAATCAGAGGAGAGGGCGATTCACGGGCAGCCCCAGGGGGCGTTCCAGGAAGAGGGGCGACTCACACCCAGGCCAGAAATCTGTGCAGGGCTGGGGAGGGACCAGATGTGTTGTGGGTGGGCATCCTTGGAGGCTGCAGTTCCAGGCCAGTTCAGTCCTGGGGAAGGGATGGAGGAAAATTCTCCCCTTTGGCTGGGTCCGAGGGGTGGAATCGCTTTACTTTTCTCGGGGCCACACTCTGGGTACCAAGAGGACGTCCCACGGTGCTGGGGCTGACTCCAGACACAGATGTGCACGGCAGGTGTGGCACAAACACGCATACAAGGACACAGTCCCTGAGACCGGTTTCTCGACCTCTCCCAGTGTGGCCTGGCCACCTGCATCCCTCCAGCTGGACCTCAGACTCCCACACAGAGATGCCCAGGAGCGGACTGATGTCACCATGCGGCTCCACCCCTGCTCAGCCAAGGCTGTCGCTGGGCACGGCACTGTCTTGGGTCCAGTGAGGTGCCTATCAGATGTCATCGATAGGAGGCTCGGAGGAGGCCCTGAAGCTGGCACCCGCCCTGGGGACAGCAGAGGTGACTTTCGTGCCTTCCCAGCCCTGTCTCTGCCTCTCCCACCAAACACAATCACCAAAGTTCCCCCACGAGAGCAAAGGTCAGGCTTCGTGACTAAGCATGGAGATTATTTTGATCTTTTTGATTACAACCAGAAGAGCAACTTTGGGTGAGGGAGGAGCAGTGGGGACTGGGCCCCCACTGACCAGTGTGGCTTCCTCCAAGTTGTCCTTGTTGGGGCCACACTAGCAGTGCTTCTTGGGGCTTGCTCCACTCTCAGCTCAGCATCACTTCTGGCGGGCTCGGGGGCCACAGTGTGTCACCGTGCCAGGAGCAGCTGCACAGAAGGCAGGTGCCCTCCCCACTGTCCTTTCGCCCCTTGGTGCGTTTTCCTGAAACTCCCTGTGCTTCCACAGATGGAGAAATGCAGGCAGCATGACTTCCATGCTTGGTGTCCGAGGTGGTTCTGGTTAAGAATCTTCATGACGGGCCGGAACGATAGCATAGCGGGTAGGGTGTTTGCCTTGCACTCAGCTAACCTGGGTTTGATCCCCGGCATCCCATATGGTCCCCCAGCACTGCCAGGAGTAATTCCTGAATGTAGAACCAGGAATAACCCCTGAGCAACGCTGGGTGTGACCCAAAATGAAAAAAATAAAAAAGAATCTTCATGACGGCGGGGACTGGAGAGATAGCACAGCGGGTAGGGCCTTTGCCTTGCATGCGGCCAACCCGGGTTTGATTCCCAGCATCCCATATGGTCCCCTGAGCACTGTCAGGAGTAACTCCTGAGTGCAGAGCCAGAAGCAACCCCTGTGCATTGCCGGGTATGACCCATAAAGAAAAAAAAATCTTCATGACACCTTTTGTTGCTGGCGTGGGTTTGGTTTCTGGGTCACACCTGGTAGTGTGTGTGGGGGCGGGGCTCGGGGTGGACGTGAGGCTCCTCACCCTCCCCTCGCTGGCCCCTCACACCCTCCTGAAGAGGAATCTGGTGCCACTTGGCGGGCTGCGAACGGCACGTGGAGTGCAGGGGTTTGGGAGGCGGAGCAGCAGCCCCTGGTCCTGGGCTCCCCGGTGTGACTGACCCTCGCTCTGGCAGCGTGCGGCCTGGTGTGTGGCTTGGGGCTGCTCCGAGTGCTGCTCAAGGGGCTTTGCGGCACCAAGGACCAGATACACACATGCAAGCATGTGCTCTGCCCCTCAAGCCATGTTCTAGCCCTTGTTCTCGGCTCTGTTTTTGTTTGGGGAGGGGGGTCGGTACTGAGCCAGGCAATGGCAGGAAAATCCGGTGGAGGCTGCATCCCCCAGCAGTGGAGTCAGAACCGAGACCCGCTTAGGGTCCCTCCAGGCAGTGGCGGACAGGAAGCCCTCTTTGTATACAAAGGGCTCAGGAGAGTCAGCCGCTCCGGAAAGGGAAAGCCGTGTCGACCCCAGTAAAACCCAGGCTCACGGACAGGGCAGGCAAGAATCCCAGGCCGCAGGGGTCGGACCCGCGGGCTGCCGATGTGTGCACAGGGCAGGCGAGCCTGAAGCTCCACAGCTCCCCCGGAAACCTGCTTTGTTCGTTCAGGGTTGTTTGGGGGTCAAACATGGTGGTGCTCAGGGCTGGTTGGTCCAGGAAAGGGGGGGATAGGGGGCCAGTTTCCTCCAGCACACCTGGGAAAGTACATTCTAGAATGCTCCGGAGCATCGGAAGCCAGGTGACATGGGATCATACGGACCATGCCACTGAGTGGCAGCCAAGCCCAGCTTGGGGAAGGGAGCTGGGAGCAGCCCCCTGGGGGAGAGGGTCGGGAGGGGCAGGGTGGGGAGGGCGGGCTAGGGAGCCGCCACTGTCCTCTGGGCCTCTGCCCCGCCTGCCTGGCAGCCAGCACCTGAAACACGAGCTGCCCAGCAGCAGAGACCTGGTCAGCCTCCCAGGGGCCTTCCCTGCACTGCCCTGACCCCCCCCTGCTGCATCCCCCAGAACAAAAGGGGCCCCTCCCCCCACCCCACCCCCACCTCCTCTGCTCAGCAACGAAGTTCTTCAAAGGCCCCAGAGGCTGGCGTTTGGCCCGGAGCCTGGGTTGTTTCCTGCCGCAAGGGCAGGGAATGTCCCCGGGCGGGCGGGAGGGGCGGCTTGCTGGGCTCCAGCCCACACAGACCCAAACTTGTCTTGGTATCACGTGGCTGGCAGAGCCAGTCGGCTGCCGGGAAGGTGAACGCCCGAGCCAGGCCGGCAGAGCCAGCAGGCAGCTGGGCACAGGATGGTCGCCCCGAGCAGCCAGCCGACAGCAGAGCTGGAGCTCCCGGGAGCAGGGATGCACCCGCCTGCCGCAGAGGTGAGCTCGCCGGCCAGGGAGGGCGGCTCTGCCAGGTGCCGGGACAAAGTCCATCCTCCCTCCCGTGGTGGCACCTCCTGCCCGCGCCCCACGGGTGCCCCATGACCTCGCTTCCCTCACCCCGCTGTGTCCTGAGTCGGGGACCGCTGCCTGGCCTCTGTTCCAGCCAGAGTGATTCTGTGCTGGACAGGGAGGCGTAGCTGGTCCAAAGCGGGGAGCAGGAAGGGAAGGAAGGCAGCGGGCAGCAGGCCTGCACGGGTTGGAGACAGGCACGGGAGTCGCGGACACATTCAAGTGGTTGCTGCTCTCCCGTGCCCGCTAGGCCTAGGCCTGTGCCCCCGCACCCCTCCCCGGCTCCTCGCGAAGGCGTGATGTTGACCAGGGCAGCTCACGGTCCAGACCTCCGTCCTTGCTTATGACGAGGAGGGGGCAGGGGCGCGGGCGAGTTCAAAGGACTGAGTTTCTGCTTTATGTCCAGCTTGGGTTCGAGCCCTGGCACCCGCCCCCACGAGAGCCAAGTAGGCGACCCCCAGCACTCCTGGGTGTGGGCCAACACCCTGAAACAAACCGACCCTCTTGCTTTGCCTGCAGCGACCCTGGCTGGATGTCCCCATCACTCCCCACTTGGGCTGGGTCCCCTACTGGCCCCCACACCCTGCATCAGAGCTGGACATAACCCCCGAGCACAGGGGGGGTGTGGCCCCCAAAGGAAAAGCAAAAAGGCTCCCAAAGCAACAGAGCATGTCCACATAAAAATGCCCTAGCAGGGACCGGGAGAGCGGACAGCAGGGAGCACACCTGCCTAGCACCCCATATGGCCCCCGGAGCCCTGCCAGCAGTGACCCCATCCTGAGAACCACAGGTGTGGCCCTAAACCCTCCCCCTGCCCCTGCCGACCTATCTTATACTACAAAAACGGGAATGCTCATCCACCAGAATGTTCTAGAAGCTGGGAGAACACCCGAATCAGCCAGTATAGATAAAAGCGAGAACAAAGTTGCCGCCCCTGGCCCTGGGCCACCCTTGGATTCCCCCAGCCTGCAAACCTGCAGCCCGGTCACAAAGGGGCTTTATCTGCTGCTGAGAACTGCAGGGAAGTCCTCGTCCCTGGAAGGCGACTCCGGAGCCTGTGAGGAAGCAGGACAGTCACTCTGTATGCCTGCCTGCACTGCGTGCGTGCACTCCACGTGTGTGCCTGCGTGCATGCCTGCGTGTGTGCACTGCGTGTGTACCTGTATACATGCCTGCCTGCCTGCGTGCATTGTGTGTGCCTGCATGCGCTGAGTACATGCCTGCGTGCACTCCTGTGTACAGGCCTGCATGTGTGCACTGCGTGTGTGCCTGCATGCGCACCCTGGTACATGCCTACGTGTGTGCACTGCATGTCTGTGTACACGCCTGCCCGCCTACACTGCATGTGTGCACTGTGTGTGTGCCTGCATGCGCTGAGTACACACCTGCATGCATTCCTATGTACATGCCTGCATGCATGTGTGCACTGCGCGTGTGCCTGCATTTCTGTGTACATGCCTACGTGTGTGCACTGCATATGTGCCTGTGTGCGTACCCTGGTACGTGCCTGCATGCGTGCACTGCGTGCATGCCCGTGAGCGTGCTTGCGTGTGTGCCTGCCTGCATTCCCAATCTCTGGCAGGATCCAGTGTCGGGAGGCTCCTTCCCTCCCTGGCCCACACACCTGCCCCAAGGCGCCCGGGAGAAACCAAACTTGTTGCTTCTCTGGGTGAAGAAACAGCTGCCCACAAGGCACAGCGGAGCAGTGGGGACACCACTGTGGGCACCTAAGAGAGACCGCCAGAGGGTCGGAGTCACACGGGGCAGGTACTAGGCTGCACCCTGGGCATGAGCACAGACCAGCAGCCTGGATCCAGGGCTCCCCGCCCGTCCCCCTTCCGGTTCTGCTCAGGGAGAGGCCCAAGCCAGTCACGGTGGGCTACAGGCCTCCCGCATGCGACAGAAGCGGCCTTTCCCTTTGGCCGGAGGGTCATGTGGAGCAGGCCGGTTCCAAAGTCGCCCGCTATCGGCTCCAATCGCCGTCTCAGCAGCAGGCCCGGCACAGGCCCCACACGGGGCCGAAGTCTGTTTTCTCCTCTTCCCCTTGTTGACCTTCTGCTCCCGTTTCGCGGCACCTTGTCCCAGTCTCATGGCACCCCCCGGGCTGCCCCAGCAGGGCAGCAGCCAGGAACCCCCGTCCAGATGCAGAGGAAACGCGGGCGCAACAGAGAAGCGTGTGCTCACCCCCATGTGCACTCTGGTGCACACCCGTGCTGTGCCCGGGACCCCGAAGGGAGGCTGGGCTGGTGCTAGGGGACCCTGCCCAAGCTGTAAAGCAGGTATGCTCAGCTCAGCCCCAGCACTGACCCCTCCCACGCCAGGCTATGTCCCTCCCTGTTTGCTTCTGGCGCCCGTTTGGGCTCCGCTGACTACAAGCAAAGGTTTGGGCCTGGGTGTTGGCGCCAATTCCTGAGGTGAGCATCAGCCTGCGTCCCCTCCCATGCCAGCTGTGGGAAGCACCAGGTGGGGCTGTGACCACCACCCAGGCCCAGTGAAGCCCAGAAAGGGGATGGGGTGACAGGTGACAGGTGACAGACACGTCTGCCTGTGGCACCACTCCAAGCCCAGTCACTCCTGCCAAACACAGTCCTGGAATCCTCAGCATCTCCACAGGCCTCCCCTCCTGGCCTGCGGCCACCAAAGCCAGGGGTCAGCTAGCCTAGGAGCAAGTGTCTGGGGCCCCACTAACGCGCAGAGCCGTAGGTCTGCTGGAGGCCGAGAGGAGGGTGGCCAAGGCCCCGTGCCTGCCCCATGGATGCCCAGCAGTGTGGGGGCCGGGCCACCGGGAGGGGGCACAGGGGAGGCCCCTCCAGCCAGGCCTCGCTTGGCCCACAGACCAAGGGGGCTGGGTGGGGTCCCTCAGCTCAGCCCCATTTTTCATTGCAGATGGACAGGGAGGTCGGTGGCCGGCAGACTGGGCGGGCGAGGCAGGTGAGTGGGGCCCGCCCCCAAAAGTGACACAGCAAAGCACCCTGTCCCTGCGCCCCCTGGGCACCGAGCTCAGGAAGCACCCCTCAGGGCAGCGCAGGCAAAGGGCCTGCCTGTGTGTCCCAGGCAAGGTCCTGCCACCCGGGGAAGCCTCTCTCCTGCACGTGAAACTGCTGGAAGCCCACGGGAGGGACTCAGCGAGCACAGGGCGAGGCAGGACCAGGCCAGAGGCCGAGGGCACTGCACGGGCAGGACCTTTGGCCACGGGGCGGTCCCCACGGGAGCCAGAGCCGGAAGCCGACACCCGGCAGGCTTCCTTCTGGTCTCCCACTGCCCGCACCCCGGTAAGCTAGGTGCGATTCCCAGCAGCTCAGGGGGCAACTGCCTACCCGACGATGGCGGGGAAGGGGACCCCTCCTGGAGACTGGGGAGGAGGTGACTGGTCAGCCAGCCCTGCCCACTACTGGCCAGCCAGCAGGAGGATGAGTGTTACAGGATGACCTGGGGTTACCTGGGGTTACTGGGTGCTCTAGCCGCCCAGAGGCGGGGTCACGCTGAACTCTGATGTGGGGGGGTGCCAGGGAGGAGCCTGGGCGTGGGGCAGTTATAAGGTGGCCAGCAGGCCCGGGCCCGACTCCTGCCGATGCCCCCTAGGAGGGCCACATCTGGGGCTCCATGCGGAGGACGGCGTTCATCTTGGGCTCCGGCCTGCTCCTGTCTGTGGCCTTCTGGAACTCGCTGACATGGTGAGTGCGGTGTCTTAGTGGGGACAGGGGTGCTGCCTGCCCAGCGGTCTCGCCAGAAGCCCCTTCCTTCTCCCCAGGCATCTTCAGAGGTTCTGGGGGGCTTCGGGCCACTTCTGGCAGACCCAGTGGGAGGCGCTGCTGTCTACGTTCGAGGGGAAGGAATGGGTGTTGTACTTCATTGGTGAGTGGGCGGTCGGCCCGAGGAGAGCTCAACTCAGACCCGAGCCGGCCTTGCACAAAACTGACCTGATATAGTCCTGTCCATCCACAGGGCCCTGAGCCCCGCCTGGCCTGACCCTTGAGTGTAGTCAGTAGTTAGACCTGAGCACTGCCAGGGGGAACCCAAACACTGAAAAAAAAGATTCAGGTTGGGGAGATACTGAGGCCGGCATACTGAGGAGCTGTGGGGGCTGCCGGCATGCGGGGTCAGGTCCGGCTCGGCCACCCCCCAGGCACTCCCACACCTGCTGGCCACCCGACTCCTGCAGACTGGAAGCGGACCTCGGCCTGCCCGGGTCGTTTCCTGTGGCCCTGACGTCTTAGGAGCCGTGAGCACCCGCTCATCCACTCGGCTGGTGGGTCGCCGACGCCTCGCACCAGCACACTGGGGTCCGACCCCTACCCCCACCCCGGGCCCCAGGAACCCTCCCACAGGCTCACTCACCTCATCTGTCCAGTCGCAGGTCACGAGGGAGCTTGGCCCTGGGCGCTGCCTGAGGGGCACCTCTAGAGCAGAGCCCCAGGAGCCGGGCTGTGTCTGCCGAGCAGCCGCAGTCGCAAGCGGAGGGACGGAGGGCAGGCAGCTCGCAGAGTGGAAGGCTCCGCCACACCCACCGTCACACCTACTCCAGCCTCTCATGGGCGTTTGCTTTTGAACCGTGGTTTTGGTTTTAGGGGTAATCCTCAGCTGTACTTGGGGGTCTCACCCTGCAGGGGTCAGAGGACCATGTGTTGCTAGGGCCAAAGCCCGTCTGACGCACGAAGTGTGCGCTCAGCCCTTCTGGTATCTCAGCTGCCCTTAGGTCCTCCAGAGGCCCCCGGCACGGCTGCCCGCCCTGCTCCCAGCCACCTCTCACCGGCCCGGGGCCGCCGTTCCCACTTCACAGCCAACAGCACCCACAAGTTCGCCGCCCCTGCCAGGTGTGGCCCGGCCACCTCCCTCATGCTCCCCTCCCCACCAGGTGCCACCCAGGTGCCCGGCCTGCTCTTCTGGGCCTTCAATGGGCTGCTCCTGGTGGCCGACACCACTGGGAAGCCACACTTCATCACGCGTTACCGGATCCAGCTTGGCAAGAATGAGCCTGTGAGTGTGGCCGGGGCCTGCCCCATCGGGAAGGACGTCCAGGCCCGGCCGTCTCTGCTCAGCGGCCCCCACCTCTCTCCACCCGGGATAGGCCTTGCTTTCTGCCTGGCCAGCATATGAAGGCCGCACCACATGACCCCACTGCCGCCTCCTGTCCATGCGCCTCCCACTCTGTCTGCAAACCCCTCTCCCTGCCTCAGACACCCTCAAAGCCCAGCCTGTGCCCCCCAACTCCCCGACTCCGTGTCCCCTGGCCACTCACCTGCCCAGCACCGGGCCTTGAGGGGACACGTGTCCACGGGGCGGGAGGTGTGTGGCACCGAGAACAGGCAGGGCCATCTGCACCCACCACTGCTCAGGGACTAGACTGGCCCCCCTCCCCGCCCCCGCCCGCCCCGCGGCTACTTAACTGACACCTGGCTGATGGCTGCCCCGTGGGTCCCTATCACTGTTCCCCCAGGACCCTGCGCCTAGCCACCACTCTGCCCCTTGGGGGCCCCTCACCTGCTCCCCCATCTGCTGAGGGGGCATGGGTCTCACCGCAGGCCGAGCAGTGGCCCTCACTCGCCCGCCCACAGGTGGACCCGGCGCGGCTGCGCCAGGCCGTGCGCACGGTGCTCTTCAACCAGTACTTCATCTCGCTGCCCATGCTCCTGCTGCTGTACCCCGTGCTGCGGCGCTGGGCGGACCCCTGCCGCCGCCAGCTGCCCACCTTCCAGTGGTTCCTGCTGGAGCTGGCCGTCTTCACCCTCCTGGAGGAGGCCCTGTTCTACTACTCACACCGGTGCGCGGGCCGGGGCGGGGGCCGGGGGAGCCGGGGCAGTTCCGGGACGGGCAGGTGACGGCTGCACCTTCCGCAGGCTCCTCCACCACCCGGCGCTCTACAAGAAGATCCACAAGAAACACCACGAGTGGACGGCTCCCATCGGCGTGGTGGCGCTCTATGCCCACCCCATCGAGCATGTGGTGAGGGCGCCGCCCAGCCCCCCGGCCTCCCCGCCCTGATGGCCAGACACTGGCCGGGCTCCCTCACGTGCCCTGCCCACAGGCCTCCAACATGCTGCCGGCCGTGGTGGGGCCCGTGGTGCTGGGCTCGCACCTGTCATCCATCACGGTCTGGTTCTCCCTGGCCCTCATCGTCACCACCATCTCCCACTGCGGCTACCACCTGCCCCTGCTGCCGTCCCCGGAGTTCCATGACTACCACCACCTCAAGTAAGACGCCTGCACCCCAGCCTCCACACCCCGGGCATGGGTGCGGCCTCCCCCACCATCCTCTACCCCCGTGTGTGCCTGCAGGTTCAACCAGTGCTACGGGGTGCTGGGGGCGCTGGACCACCTGCACGGCACCGACACCCTGTTCAAGCAGAGCAAGGCCTACGAGCGACACGTGGTGCTCCTGGGCCTCACCCCGCTGTCCCAGAGCATCCCCGACCCCCCGAAGAAGGCACACTGAGACCCTGCCTGCCCTGGGCGCAACAGACCCCCCAACCCACCCCGAACCAGGCTGAGGAGAGCCCGGAGACCGGCTGACACCCCCGACGCCCAGGAGTTCGCCCAGTGCCAGGCCATCATGTCCTCCTGGCCCCAACTGCTCCTGCAGGTGGCCCCTCCTAGTGCCCACAGATGCCTGAACCACACACCCACACAGACACACACACTCACACTCGGACCCATAAGCAAGCCTGTGGCGTCCACATGGATGGCCCAGGGGCCCCTGCAGCCAGTGAATGCCCAGACATCAGGGCCCCTGCGACCGTGAGAGGTCCATCGCCGCTCTGGGCACATCTCACAGTCACCTTCCTGCCTCTGCAGCAGGACCGGCAGCTGGAAGCTCCCCTCAATGAGCACCGGGCCAAGGAGGCACCAAGACACCCTGATAAGATCCCACCCCCGCGAGCGGGCCATCAACCGCCGTGGTCACCAGAGCAGGCAGGGTGCAGCCGACACAAGCGCTGATCAACAGCAGCCCATGTAACCCCAGGTTCAGACTGTAGGCGCCATGGAAGCCACCTGACCAATAAAAGGTGTTCTCACTGGGCTGCCGGCGTCTCTCTCAGCCCCCAGGGGAGGAAGTCCCCTCAGCTCCCGCAGTCCTCCGGGGCCACGGGAGACAGTGCCCCCCCGCACCCAGTCCCCTGCCGGGAGACCAGCCAGCATGTTGCCTTTTCAAGTTTTTATTTTTATACATTTTTTTTGTATTAAAAAGAAAAGCATAATTACCACAAATTACAAAGGACTAAAGCAGGACTAGGATAATGAATGAATCACTTCAGCCTGGAAAGCAGGTCCTCAATAATATTAATGTTATAATACAAGCTCATTCAAGTATTTTACATTTCTTTTTTTTGTCCTTTTGAACAAGATATCCAAGCATGAAAAGGTAAATGTTCTATGAGCGAGCGGCCCCCTCTTTTCTCCCGTACACGTGGGCTGCACTCTGTCCTCTGTCCCATCAGCAGCTGGCCACAGGGACAGGCCAGCCTAGGACCCTCCAGGAGACACGTGGGTCCCACTCACCACTCCCTGCCCAGGTTTTTGGCAAAATCCCACCCCAAGTTAGTCTCCTGGGCCCCACCCCACTTCCAGGGCCTTGAGCAGCTTTACTTTCTTTTGCAAAATCAATCATCAGGAAAGGGGGGGGGGGGCTACAATGGAACAAAACAAAACAGAACAACTCTGACAGAGGGGTGGGGGTCTGAGCTGGCGGCAGCCCATGTACCCACGACCCACAGGGCAGCACACTAGGACCCGGATCGAGGGCCCTGTGCGGGCCAGCCCCGGGCACCCACCACCTCTGGGGTGCAGAGCCTCCGTCTCGGCCCCACCCGGATGCTTGTCACAGATAGGTCGGTCCTGAATTCAAGTGTCTTCAGAAAGTGAAGATGTAAACTACTCCTGCAACAGTAACTCCTAATGTGTCACAGAGAAGAGAAAAGAAACGGGGGAGGAAGGCAGGGCGAGGAGTGCTGGCCCAGCCATGTGACGAGGTCCCCCAGGCCGCCTGCTCCCTGTCCGTGGTGCTTGCTGCCCCAGCCTGGGCGGAGGCGTGAGGCAAGAGCGGCCCCACCAAGATCTCCGCACTCGCCAACCTGTGTGTGGGTTGGCAGCGAGTCTGGGGGACGCAGAGGCCAGCGGGGAGAGGTGCGGAGGTATACTCTATGTCCACATATACCTTCCTGCCGGGCTCTCGCAGGCAGGCCCCGACTCCCCCCGGGCTGGGCTGCAAGGGAGAGGGAGGGAGCACAGCTCCTGAGCTGGCAGAGGCCTCTCGGGGCGGCTGAGCGAAGACAAGGCCCTTGACCGGGCCACGGGAGACGGTTCTCCCAGGCTGAAACCCAGGTGGCGGCGGGAAGAAGGGTCCAGAGGACAGGGCTGGTGGGAGGTGGCAGCAGAGCAGGTGAGGATGTGACGGTGACGGCGGGTGGCGGCAGGTCCGGCAGGTCTCTCGGTGGCCCTGCAGCCCACTGCCGCCGCCAGGGGTGCGGTCCATGTAGCGGGGCACGGGTGGGCGGGCACGTCCAGGAGGCAAAACGCCGGCATTGGGCGGTTCCGATCCCCGCTCCACAATAAGGCAACTTTTAAAAAAATATTATTTCCAAGAACAAAACAAAAAGGTTCCACGGGCAGAGGAAAGACATCACTTTCTGTGAATTAGGTGGGTTTTCTGATTTTTTTGGTCTTTTGTGGTGGATTTTTGTCTTTTTTTTTCCATTTTTCCGAGGATCGGGAAGATCAAGAGTAAAATGAAACGAATCTCTCAACAGTCTTTCTGGTTCCAGCAGCGCCTCTCGGGGCGGGGCGGGGGGGGGGGGTGGAGGCGGAGCCTTCCCGGCCCCACGGTGAGATGCTTTGGTTTCCTTCCCCCAGAGGATGGTAGGAGGGTGCGGCCAGCGGCGGGCAGGGCAGACAGACAGAGCCCCAGTGTCAGGGGCTGGTACCAGGCCCTGGGCAGTGCTGGACGGGCTGCACAGTCGCTCCGAAAGCAGGCAAGGCCGTGGGCGGAGCAGCTCGGCAGCCGTGGGCAGGGCTACGGGGTGATTTTGGTGATCCAGACAGACGATCAATAATTTAAAACTTGATATATATATATGTATATATATATAGATATAAAAGACTCTCCCTGCCCACCCCAGGAGGCCAGGAGAGGCTTCGTGAGGGAGCTGTGGAGAGGGCTGCACGGGCTTGGGCCCCAAGGTGCCCCGCGGCCGCCCACTCCCATAGCTCCAGGCCTGTCCATTCCGCTCCGGCTCCTGGAACTGGTCGCTCCACGGACTCCTGCCCCCCTCCTCTCCTCCCTCCCCCCACACTCCCATCCCCAGGGCTGAAAGGGGGAGTTTCACTTTCCCAAAGTCTGAGCCTCCGCGTGCTGGCTTGTCCATTTGGCATCTTCCCGGACAGGCTGGCTGGCGGGCGGTGGGGGCGGCTGGCTGCCCCCGGGGACAGGCCGGCTGGAGGATTGCGAGGGACACCGCTTCCGGCCCTCACTGCTGCCACCTCCTGGCACCACCTGGTGTCGCTTGTGGTTGCCCTCCTCACCCATGGGGGGCTGCAACAGAGGAGGCTAGGTGACCCTGGGGCTCCCCCAAACACAGGGATGAAACAAGCATTTCACAACTCCAGCGCACAGTTCCGTGCCCATAAAGCACTGGCACTTCCTAGGCTTCCGCCCTGCAGTCTGCGACCGCCCTCATCTCCAGAACGCAACAACACAAAGGGCCACAGTACAGGGACTGAGAAACCGCACCCCCGTGGGCCGGCACGAGCGAGTCGCGAGTCAGACCCCTCAAGGCCCGCCACAGGTGGCGAATGGCCTCAAAGGCCAGTCCCATGTCACCCCCACACAGAGCCCCTCTTCCACCAAGTCCTCCTGGGACACACCACACAGTCAAGCTGCAGCTGCCTCGCCAGCAGGTCACCCGCCCCCAGTTTTCCAGGGACACATCCCCGCCTCGGGCTTCACTACTGCCCAGACTCTGCACGCAGTACCCCTGACTCGCCACTGGATGTCACTGTTGGCCACGGAGACCTACTCCGCGGGCTTGGAACCGCAGCGCAGTTCCTCCCTGACCCGCCCACCAGACTGGCAGCCGACTTACTAGAGCAGTGGAGCCTGAAGGGCAGGAGGGCAGCCACCACCTCTGCCCACCCCTTGTCCCTGACGTCCCACTGGGACAGCATAGGAGTAAGGCACTTCCCCTGCACACAGTTGAGCCCGGGCCGATCCCCAGCACCACAGACCCAGCCAGGAGTGACCCAAGCAAAAAGCCAACCAATGAGCAGCGCCCCAGCTGTATCCGGGAAAACTAGTCAGGAAGTTGGGCAGGCAGTGCGGGAGGATGGACAGGGATACTCACATCTACCCGGAAGTCTTCCAGACGGCGGAATTTGCCGAGGTATTCTTGAAGTTTAGGGTCGATGTCCAAATTTTTGGCTTTGGAATACTTTAAGAAGGCCCAGAACTTCTCCAGCCCATAGAGCTGGCCTGTGGAGAGGACAGTGGGTCAGGCAGCATGCACAGACGAAGGATGTGGCTGCTTGGGCGCAGGTCTGCGCCAGCAGACAGCTCTGAGCACCAGCTACTTACCAGCTTCGCAATCCTTCACGGTCTCCTCCTGGAAATCCTTGAATATGTCCGGCCGGAACTTCTTTTCCAGGCCGTAACTGTAGTATCGGAAAAGGCACTCCAGACCGTACCTGCCAAAGGAGCCCATGGCATCAGGACACGGGCCCACCAAGCCCGCACGCAGGACCCAGGAACCAGCTGGCCAAGGGTCAGCCGCAGTCTGATCCACTGGCCCACAGGGCGCTCTGATCACATCCTGAGCTTCAGGTCTGCTCACTGGGTGACACCCAACAAAACCTCTCAATGACGGCGAACAGAAAAGCGGTTCACAAGCCACAGATGGGCCAGGGAAAGGCTGTGGCTGGGAGCCCCAGGTCCCGCGGGTGGTCCAGCAGCTGCCACACTCACCGGTAGCCTTCTCTGGCGTCCTCCAGGGCCAGCTGCTTGAACTCCTCGTACATCTTCTTGTTGAAGTGGTCACGAAGAAAGAAGGACCAGAAGCGGAACAGGGTGTTCATCTCCTGAGACTGGCCGATGCCCAGACGCTTCCGCTCTGTGGGGAATGAGGGTTCGTGTTGGGTATCGGGGATAGCGGCTTGAAGGCTGGGCCTGGGACCTGGCTGAGCCTGCCCATATCTCTGAGCACTGATCCGAGAGCTACAGACCTCGCCAGCTCAACACCTGTTGTTGGCGGAGCAGGAAGGGACCAGCAGTGATGGTCAGCACTACAGAATCCCACCACCAACCACCGGGGACACCATGGCACAGTGGAACGATGAGCCGCAGGACGGGTAGGAGTAACTGCAGACGCATAATGAACACATGGCATGGCCGGAGGCACACAGTAACAGACACAGACCTCTGGTCCAAGTGGCAAACGGCCCAAGGCTCAGGGCCCCTAAGCCAGGAGCAAGTACAGCAAGTGCAGCAGGCAGAGAGGATGGCAGCCACTAGGGGGCACCATGGCACACCGTAGAACCAGGGACCGCACCCGAGAGCCCCAGACTCAGTGCTGAGGAGCCAAACACCGGGCAGACGCAAAGGTCCAGAGCTAGTCCCCAGGTAAGACACAGAGCCACACAGCTGGCAACACCAGAAGGAGTGACAGCAAAGGCCACTGCGGTGCCAGGAGCAGGTGGGGAGACACGCTCAAGAGTAATGCTCCCTGGGCAGGCACTCACCATTGAGGCAACGCCTCCGGTACTTGTGGTAGACGTGCTGGGTGAAGCCGTTCTCCTTGAGCAGCTCGTGGGACGGATGCTGGAACTTGGGCAGCGACTGAGGGGTACAGCCATAGCTGCCCACTGCCGGTGTCCCCTCGGAGGGGCTGGAGCTGCAGGCCAGAGTGTCCTCAGACTCTGAGAGGCCACCTCCCCGGCTCCTGGCGACTCACACCTGGCCACCAGGAGCCGCCATCCATACTCATCAACCAGCGCCCGGCCAACTCAGTGTTTCTGAGGCTGGTGGGCCCTGCGTACCTGATAGAGGCCGTCCGGGGCCGGTGTTCGCGCGAATCCATCACCCAGCCCACGTGGCTCTCCAGGGGTGGGTTGGAGCTGTGCCTGGTCTTCCTCTTCCGAGGCATCTGTAAAGGCCGAAACGTGACTGGCCTGGCCTCCCGGCAATGGACCTCTAAAGCCCCCGCAGGATCAGGGCCGTACCTTGGCGTCCAGCGTGCGCCCTTCCTTCACCACAGGGTAGAAGCGGGGTGTCTGGCTCGAGTCCTTGAGCTGCGGCGTGCGGGGCGTGCGGGGTGTGCGGGCGTTGCGGTAGTTTGGCGACTCGGGGACAGTAGTAGGGAGTGAGCGGGCAATGGTGGAGGGCTCGGGGGCCCCGAACAGCTTGTTGGCCAGCGCATCAGTGGGGACTGTGGAGAGAGGTGGTGGGTGAGCGAGGCCACGGCTCCCTCCACCCGCTGTCTGGCCTGCTGCCCCCACACTCCTCACCTTGCTGGAAGCGGGGTGGCCCTGGAGGGACCTCCTGGTTGGGGTCCACAGGGGGCTCGGGGGTCAGGGTGTCGAACTGCTCGCGGCTGATCATGTTGACCTTCTTGAAGTTCTCCACCTCTTGCTGCAGGGTGGGTAGGGAGATGGCACCGTATAGGAATCAGGCCAGGCGGGAAGCCGGAAGGGGCAGGCCCAGAGCACACGAATTCTGGTCCCCGGGCCCCGCTGGCCCTACCCCATTCCTCAGGCCCGTGATCCACACCCTGCACGGCGCAGGACCCTGCCACTCCCTGGGAGCTCAGCCTTCCTACAGCCAGGCCTGTCCTCGGCCCTGCTTCCTGGGACTCAGCCTTCCCACAGCGAGGCGTGGCCTCAGCCTTCCGACCATCAGGCCTGTGCTCAGCCTCGCGCACGCCAGCAGAGCCATGGCTGTCCCAGATGGGTGGCGTCTCACCTTGATCTGCGAGTACTCCGGCTCGAACTTCTCAGTCCACAAGTCCTGCTCGTAGTAGAAGAGTCCGTCGTTGATGACCTTGGCCAGTTCGGCGCTCATCTTGGCCCTGGATGTGTGGTTGCCAGTGCGGTCACCGCCCGGGTGCCGGCGCATGTAGGGCGGCGTCTGGGTGACAATGAGGATCTTGTTGACATCGCGGTCGTCGATCTCGTAGTCAGAGTCCTCGTCAGACCAGGCAGTGAAGGTGTTCTTCCGCCCGTCCATCTGCTCCATCTCCTCGTCGAACAGGAAGTCCAACTCCTCCTGCTCATCCTGGTCACGTGCCGGTGGCTGCTGGGAGGGCGGCGGCTGTGGCAGGGACGTGGGATGGAGGAACCTGGGCTCCTCGGACCTCTGGGAGGAGTGAGGGGCAGGGTGACTGTGGCGCTGAGTACTACCCCCTTAATCAGGCTACCCTACGCGGGGGCCAGGCGAGCATCTGAGTGACCTCGGCTGCTCCACCCAGTGTAGAGGAAGGAGGGTGCCAGGCAGGGGTGGGGGTGGGGGGGCCTGTCCAGCAGAGAAAAGCAGGACCTAAGCACAGACAGAGGGACAAAAGAACAGGCAGGAGAGGCCTGTGCGGGTGGCCCCAGTGTATGGCACCCACCTTGGGCCGGGCCGGGGAGGGCCGAGGCCGTTTCTTCACCTCAATCCAGTTCTCGGAGTCCAGCTCGGGCAGACTGGCGGACAGACCCTTGGGGAGTGTCTTCAGGTTGCTCACCTCCTCAGTTTTGGCTGGCACTGGGGTGACCGCGCGGGGAGAGCCGGGGGCTGACTCTGCAGGAATAGGGGAGACACGTTATCATCCAGGCCCCAGGGTGGGGGTGGGGGTGGGGGTGGGGTGAGGCCTCAGCCTCCAGCCTCTGAGGGGGCAGGACCCACCCGTCTCCTTCTGGAAGTGCTGGCGGGGCACGAACTCAGGGCAGTTGAGCAGCTGGGAGAAGTCCGTCTGCGAGTGGTCCACGATTGGGGGCCCGGGCAGAGGCCACTTCCCTGGCTCCTCCCGCCGGCGTACCTTCTCGTCTACAATCTCTACCACTGAGCTGTCCTTCAGGGCCTGCAGTGAGGGCAAGCAACGCAGTGAACAGCTGTCCGGGGCGGGCATCAGCTACCACTGCAGCACTGATGGCACCAGACACCCACTGTGGCTGCCTCCAGGAGTGGGGAGCTTTGGGGTTCCAGGCAGAAGTGGGTGAAACTGACACCTGGGTGTGAGACCACGCACTGGGCACCCCCACCAGACACACTAACCAGGAGCGGAAAGCAGGGACGCGGGGGAGTCAGAAATGCCTATAAGAGGGATCAGTCTGAGAAGGCAACAACTGAAGCCAGACTTCTAACCAGGTCAAGTTTCACATGAACGTCCACAACAGGAAATGAGAGAGCAGACCCTCGGAATCTGACCACACAATGTCGGTGTCAGACAAACCCAACACATGCCAAGCCGAAGCAGTGACACCGAGGTCAGCATTGCAAGCTCCAACCTTGACACGGGAAAGCCGAGCCCTGCGCATCTAAGAGAGACCCAGAACCTCTGCTTCAACAGTGAACGTGAACGTGACCTCCTGGGTCCTTTACTAAGAAACAGACACAGTGACTGCTCCAGAATCAGCACACACGGCTGCTCGAGGAGACGGCTGGCGTCTCCTGAATAAAGTGGCCGTGGCAGACAGGGCGGTGAGACTGTGCAGGCTTAGGGCTCAGCAAGCAGCTGCCGGCGTGGGAAAAGCAGCACAGCTCAACCTCTACGCGCCCCACACGCAAATTCGCTGCCTAACTCTGGCAGCCCTGTGTGCTGCTGAGGCCGCCCACAGGGATGGTCACATCCCACGACACCCTATTCTCCACGCCCCGTTGAAAAACCAGAGCAGTCACCAGAGACCATCAAACGACACACCAGGACCGTAGACACAGAGCCAGGAGAGCAAATGTCTACTCGGCACATGGGCGACTTTATCCAGGAACAAGCTGCCAGGGAGGCCAGGGACGCACTGAGTCAGACGCACCGTGAGTGAGCCTGGAGACCGAACCTCACATCTGAGAGAGTTCCCAACTGACCAGACACGTGGTAAGGAAGGACCCAGGGTTTCTAATGTGCAGGAGCTGCAGCCACTAACAGGTCTGTTCCTTCGAGACGGGGACCATGGATGGCCTCAAGGCCAGAAGTCTAGGCCACGGTCACGTGTTCTTCCCTAGGCGCCTGATGTCCCCCAACGCGCAAGACAGGGGCTGCGGGGCAGAGCATGGGGTGGGGCACGTACGGCAAAGATGAGGGAGATGTCAGTGGTGAGGGCCTGCACGCGGTGGAAGGAGGCGATGAGGGTGATGGGCAGGAAGCCGGCTGCGTCCATCTTCCTCCGCAGGAAGAAGTCACGCTCCAGGTTGTCCACACTGAAGTAGTACTCGCTGCGGGGACAGATGCACATGCTCACTGGCCATGGACACCCTGTGCGGAGATCACTGTGGCCCCTCCCACTGGCAGTTGCCTCAGAAGGACAGGCTGGGCCCTGCACAGGCCAGGGAACACCACCCACTGGACTGCAGCCCCAGGGTCCCCCCCCACCCCTCCCAGCACGCACATCTGCCGCTTGATATAATCCTTGAGCAGCTCCTGGTCCACGCTATACAGCTCGGTGCTGCTGACGTTGTCGAAGTAGTAGGTGATGTTGTTCATGTACTTGGGGGCCCGGGGACCCTCTGCACCGTCAAACTTCCGGTAGGTGAACTGGTAGTCGAAATGGGCTAGAGGGCAAACAGGCTGTGAGGAGAGGGTCGCGGCCCGGCGCCCCGCCGCGCCCCCGCCCTGGGCGTCCCGGAGCCCAGAGGGGCCTCACGTACTTCGAGTGCCACCCCGGCCGCGACCCCGGCCGCGACCACGCCCCCGTCCACGGCCACGGAAGGAAGCCCGCGCCCCACCAGCCCCGTCGCTCTTCACGCTCGCGGTCTCATCCTGGTCAGGCCAGGCCGGGTCCGCTTTGGTCTCTGGTGGCCAGGCTGGGGTGGGGGGCGCCACAGGCACGGGCGTGAAGGCGGTGGGCTCGGACCCTGCAGGAAGAGTGGGCGTCAAGGCTGGGGCTGTGTCCCCCAAAACCCCCCGCCCAGTCCTTCACCCTGTACCTTTCAGCTCCCCACGGGCGGGGCGCGAGGCCGGCTTCTCTCGGGGCGCCTCTGGCTTCATGTCTATGTGCAACGGGACCCACCTGTGCTTGTTCCCTGGGCGACAGCAGACCCGTGAGGAAGGGCGGTGAGAGCTCTCTCTCTCTCCCTGCCGCGCGTGCCCCCGGACAGACACCCGGTGGCCGGCCCTGCTCACCTCGCTTCTTCTGCCCTGCTCTCTGGCAGTCCTCGTCCCCGATCCTCTCCTCCCCCGACTCGTCCGACTTGGCCCTCGGGCTCTCCTTGCTGTCGCTCGCCTCTCCTCTCTCCTGCTCTTTCATGTCCCTCTTCGGGGGCAGCTTCCGGGCAGGCTGAGACTTGTGAGACTGTGGCTGTGGGAGGCGTGACAGGAAGGGGGGCCTCAGAGCCTAGGATGGACGCACAGACGCGAAGACAGACACGCATCCCTCTGGCTCCCGTGCAGCAGAGCTACAGCTCTCAGTGCCCACGACAGGGTGACGTCACTGAGAGAGTCTGCGGCAGTGAGACGCCAGCCTGGACCTGCCCACAGCACCCAGCAGTGATGGAGCCCTGGTGGGGAGCACTGACTCCAAGGCCCCTCCATTTCCATGAGACACGAGGTCAGTGGCAGCCTTGAGCGGGACGGTGCCAAGGGCAGGAGAAACTGGCACGGCCCTCCCAAGGCACACGTCAGGGACAGGGTGCCCACCCATGATGTAATCCTTGGCTCCGTGGCCCCCAGAACGCACCTGCACACTCTTGTGGGCTATCTCTCCAGGTGTGGGCCAATTGATGGCATCTCCAAAGTCACCGACCTGCAAAGCACATTGTGAGGCTGGGCCCAGGGGACCCCGTGCGCTCAGCCACTCCCTTATCAAGACAACACAACTTCACCCAGGTCACAGCCAAACCAGCCAGTCCACCGACAGTGGGGGCCCAGAGAGATCTGCCTCTCTGAGAGAGTCAATCCCAAAGCCCGCCATCACTCCAACAAGCAAGAGGCCACGGCTCTAGGAAGACCCCCTGGACTGCTTGCCCAGCCCTACTCCTTACCTTACTGCCCTTGCGTTGCTTAGGAACTGCTGCTCTCACCACCTTGGCTGGAGCAGACTGCTCTGTGGGACAAGGGAGAAGCAAGAGTTAGGTGAAGCCCGCGGGACGGGCACTACCTACTCCCCTACCTCCCTGCACCAGGCAACCGGCACTTCCCCAGAAAGATGGTGGCCAGAGAGGAAGGACAGGCAGAGGGAAGGGGGTCAAAGCACAAGTGACGCTTTCTCCACCGGTTCCGGAGAAATCGGGGCAGGTGAGGCCATACAAAGGCATGGGAGCCCCAACCCCCCACTGCAGGTGGACAGGCCCCACAGAGACCCACGAAGCTGCGTTGGGAGGGGCATGACCCATCCTCTGTTCACCCAGGAGGGGGTCTGTCTGCCCCTACTTCCAGTGACAGGTGGGCTCAGAGTCAGGCACAAGGATGCTGCCCAGCCTTGTGAGCGGAACCTGGGCCGGGCAGGTAGTGGCACGGCATACCCACCCACCCACCTAGCCAGGAGAAGGCACATGGGCTACAAACACGACAATCCACACCTCACCCCCACCCCACATACAAATCTCACCCTCTCCCATACACCCCTCACTCACCCCCCACACAACCTCAGACTCCCATATACACCTTATGCACACACACTCTCACGTAACACCTCGCACTCACGCTACGTACGCTCACCCCTCACATAACCCCTCACCCCCCACATACCTGACAAACCCTTACAAACCTGACACCTTCTCATACCCACTCCACATTCCTCTCTCACACACGCGCCTCCTCACAACCCTTCACAAGCCTCACACCCTCTCACAAACACACTTCACCCGCCCATACTATCTCACAACTCCTCTCACACACACCCCAGCCCCCTCATATGCACACCTCACAGGCCTGCACATGCACACCTCACCCCTCACACACCCCTTACACACACACACACACACGCGCATACAACAGACACCTCCAGCTACACACCTCACCTATACCCTCCTCACATCCACACGCTGTCACACACACTCCCGCACCTCACAATCTCTCACCTACACCCACTGGGAACCCACACCTTGTCCCCCAGGCCCGTAGCATGCCAGGGTCAGCACTGGCAACGATGACACTCCAAGAAGCCCTGCAGCCCCACGAAGGAGGGACACCCTGCCCGGGGCACCCCAGGAAATGGGCCCCCAGCCCCAGCCCTACCCAGGATACTCCCTCCTGACCCCTGAAGGACGAGGAGCGCTGAAGCAGAAGGCGGGGGCTGGGCACCCCACCATGCGGGACCCCCACCAGCAAGGGCGCGTGCTGCGCCCCTCCAGCCCACTTCATTCTCTCACGGCCCTCACTCGGGCTGAGCCCCAGTCACTCCCTCCAGGGCAGGGCCCAGGGCTGACTCATGGTTCTCTCACAGATGCGCCCCGCTAGGCCCCACTGCAGACCACCCGCGGGGTTCAAGAGGGCAGGGAAGGCCGCACTCGCGGCTCGTGAAGGGGTGAGCTCAGAACCGCCCCGACGAGAAAGGGCCAGAATTTTCTGTACTGAGCCTCCCCTGGGGCAGCTGGGTCTGGCCTCTGGGAGGGAGCAGAGTGGCGGCAGAAGATGGCGCAGGGCTGTGGGGGTGGCCGCGGGAAGGCCCCGTAGGACCTCAGCCCTGGAAACAAGGTCAGTGCAGGGCACCGGGAGCGTTACTAGCCTGCCCTCTCTCAGGGGAGCCCTGGGAAGGCCTGGCAGCTCGGTTCTGGGAGAGGTGAGCCCCGCGCCTTCCCCCAGTCGCCTCACAAACCCCGGCACCCCCTCCAGCGTCAGTCACACGTCGACGGACGCAGGCGCGGGCGCACTGAGGTGCCATGTAGATCCTTCTACCCGGAATGGTCCACCCCACGGGAGGCCGCGCGTGCCAGGGCAGCCGGGTTGGTCCGAGCATGGCCACCCCACGCCCAGCAGTTCAAACGGGCACGCTCCTCACCTGCACCAGCGTCCTGGGTCAGGGTGCCCGCAGAGCAGCCCAGGGAGCCCAGAAGGTCAGACCACGAGGCTCTGCTGGGGGAGCCGCAGCGGCCACACATGGGCAGAGCCTGCGCCCCTTGGCCAGGGAGGGGTCAGGTGACCCACAGCCCCGCCCCCACGACTATCTTTAGCCTCTGGTGACAGAGGTGGCCCCAGTCAGTGTCCCGTCCCCCAGCTAACAGCAGCCAGCAAGCAGCCCCTGGACGGGAGGGACGCACGTGCCCCGCCACCCAGGTCCTCCTTCACCCGTGTACTGACACAAACTGAGGTCAGGGAACCGGAGGGGGCCACCCCAGCTTGGAAATGAAGCAGGCAGGCGGGGTGGTGCCCCTCAACATACAACAGGCCCCAGCACACGGGTCAGGCCAGGCCTGCGGCCAGGCTCACTGCGGAGCCCAGCAGAGCCCGGGCACCACGGCATGTTGGAGCCTGTCGCCCGGTCCCCAGCGGCTCTTCACCCGTACCTGAAGGTTCAATGCCCCACACCGCATGGGGCCCCAGACAACCACACAAGCCCTCAAGAGTCCAGAGCAGGCCGAGCCCAACCTCAGAAGGAAATACGGCCCGAGTACCTGCCGGTGTGGCCAACAACCAGAAAGAGTAAGGACCTGAGGGCTGCGGTGACAGGACAGCGGGCGAAGGTGCTTGTGCCCTGCCCACGGCCAACTGGGTTCAATCCCCAGAGAACTGCTGGGAGTAATTCCTGAGCACAGAGCCAGGAGTCAGTCCTAAGCATCACCGGGTGTGTCCCCAAAACAAAAGCAAACAAGCAAAATGCAAGAAAAAAGCACTTGAGATCATTCCTTCCAACAGTTCAAAGTGAGCGGGGGTGGGGCAGCAGAGCCCTGCCCTGGGCTCTCCCTGCGGTGCAGAGGCACAACCTGAGGTGTTCCAGCTCCCCAGGGACAAGCTGGCTCCAAAGCCACTGCCAGGAAGAACAACGGCCCGAGATCACAGGTGCCCACAGCCCAGCCACGCTGCACCACCTGAGTCCCAGCCTCTCTACACTTCTCTCTCTGCCCCCCACAAAGAAATCCCACGTGGGCCAGAGACCGTCGTTTCATCACAGAGCCACAGAGCCCTGAGCACAAGGCAAGGAGCAGCCCCAGCACCGCCGGCATGGCCCCTGCGTATGGCACAGCAGGTGCTGTGGAATACCTGCCACCCGGTACAGGGCTGAGGCGGCCAGGGGTCCTGAGAGAGGCTCCAAGCCCAACAACTGTAATGCGTGTCCCATCCCTTAGGGAGATGCCCACACTAGGACCGCCACACTGGGGTCCCTGCCACCCAAGAAGTCAGCGTTCAAGCAGGCCCAGCAGCCCAACCCCAGCGGAATGGGCCAGGGCCACACGCACGTGGCTTCTGCGCAGAGCAGGAGGAAGCGAGGAGAGCAATCAGAAAACTTCCTCTGCGGGGCCAGTGCCCGCCCTCACCTCTCCACGGCACCTCCCTGCTTCCCACGGGCCTCCCCTTCCCGTCCAGCCCTCTACACTCACCACCCCATACTGGGGGAAAGACCCTGCTGGCCCTGTCCAGCAGCCCCAGGTCCCAGTGGCATCAGCAGTGTGCCCCCAGCCCCTGCCCTGGGCCCCGGGGTTCTGTGCAGCACCCCCATGCAGCCACGGCCAGCATGTGGGACAACCTTCCGGGGACATTCCTGCCGCAGTGGCCCAGCCAGGAGGAGGGACAGGGCCCGTGTGTCCCTGCCCTCCTGCCCCACGGGGCCACACCGGCACTCCATCCTGTGTGGTTGTGCCCGGGGAACCAATGTGTCGCCATCACAGCGGCTCCGTGGACCAGGCTGACAAGACGGCCCACGAGGAACCGGCCTGCGTTCAGCGCCAGACACCGCGCTGCTTTCTGAAGGAAAGGGTGGGGAGACCCTCAGTGGAGATGGACTGCTGAAGAGGGCGACCCGAGTCCGTGTTCCCAGGGTCCCTCCTGCACCCCCCACCCCGCAGCTGGCCTCACGCACACTCTGCCCATCCTCGCTGGGATCCTCTGCAGGTACAGGAGCTGCGGGACAGCAGGGCGAGGGCCCTGGACGCCAGCCCAGCCCCCCCATGGTGACCACAGCCTTGACCTCAGGGGGCTGCCACTTGCAGATGAGGGCGCCCACCACAGCAAGGTCGCAGGCACTGTCCCAATCTGGGAGAGCCTCAGCTCCAATGAGCCAGGGGAAGCCCAGCCCGCCACCAAGCTGCGAGGCTCTGCCACGGGGCCAGAACCTTCTTCCCAGAGGACACTTGGCCCGTGCCCCCTTGCCAGGGCATCCAGCAGCCGGCCACCCCCCACTGCCCTCCACTCCCCGACTCAAAGGTCACCTGCTGCCTGCTCTGCTCGGCAGGTGAGGCGGGGAAGGGGCTGGGACACTCCAGCAGGGAGCAGGCGAGGTGAAGAGCATTCCAGAACAATGTCCTGGCCCTGGGCAGAGGAGCACCTCGGGGCACAGAGGGAGGGAGGGAGGGAGGAGGGGCGGGGCCAGAGCACAGTCGGAGACACCAGAGGGGGCAGCAGCCGGTCCCGGTGGGCAGGTGAACACGGCAGGGAAACAGGTGACCTGGAGGGGGCCCCAGGTCGGCCACCCCAGAGGGTCCGGCCCGAGGCCACGCAGGCCCCTCTCCTGGCCCCGAACCCTGGCACAGGGGCAGCTGAAAGAAAGGGGCTGTGTGCAGCCGCTGGTGCGGGGAACACCCCAGGCCAGCTGCCTCAGGAAGCTGCCAGTTGGCCTGGAAACTGGCACTGCAGCCCTTCTGGGAAGTGGGCAGCTCCCGCTCACCGTCTCTCCGGGCGGCACAGCGGTCCCCGCCAGCCGCAGCTCCGGGGGCCCCACGCCCCGGCCGCCCCTCTGAGCTGGGGCTGGGCGTGCGAACCGGCGCTCCGCGGGCCGTCTTGGGTCGGTGCCCACCTCCCACGGGAGCGGGCTCAAGGTCCCGCAGAGCCCCGGCTCCCTCCCGTGCGCCCCTCCTCCCGCCACTTCCCGAGGGACCCGGACTGGGAGCTGAAGGTGGGAAGGAGCGGGCCGGGCCCAGGGGTGCAGCCCCGACGGACGGACGGACGGACGGACGCCCCCATCCCCGCTTCAGGAGAACCACCTGGCCCAGGAGCGCAGCCGCGGCCAGGTGCCCACTTCCTGGCCACAGGGAAACCTGAGCAAAACCGCCGAAGCCCCTGGGGCGGCAGCCCGAGCGCCCCACCTGGCGCCGTTTCCCTTCCCAAAGCTGCCCCCGCCCGTGGGCTGACCTCAGCGCCTGGGGGGGGCGGTCCAGAGCGGGTCCCCACAGACGGGCAGCGGGACGGGCGGGCAGGAAGGTGCGGGCTCACCTGGGCAGAGCGCGGTCACCTGACCTCACCTGGTGCCACCGGCCGCCCCGGCCAGCACCCGGGCACCCACTTCCCTCTCCGCAGGAAGGGCCGAGGCGCTTCTCTCCGGGGGCGCCCACGCCCGGGCACCTGCGCGGCCTCCCCGTGGGCAGGGAGGGGCCCCCTGGCCGGCACACCTCAGAGGCCAGCCCGAGCACCACAGGGTGTGGCCCGAGAGCCACACGCGCTCGCTCGCATGGACACTGTCACACGCGCTCGCTCACACATGGGACCGCACATTCACTCGCTCTCACACTCGCTCACACACGTGACCACACACATTCAGTCACACACACACTCACACTCCCTCACTCAGACTCTCACACGTGATCAGACACTCACACTCGCTCACCCTCACACGCTCACTCTCACACCCTCTCAGACTCTCGCTCGCACACGCTCTCCCAGTCTCCCACGCGCTCACTCTCACACGCTCACACTCACGTTCTCTCACACGCTCGCGCCCTCACGCGCGCTCACACGCGGCTCCCCCCGCTGCCCGCCCGCCCGGCCCTCCTGAGGGGGCCGCCCGCCACCTGCCGCCGCCAGGGCCGGGGCCTCCGAGCGGCCCGCGCGCGCCCACACAAAGCCGCGGCCCCCCGGGCCTGTCGGGGGCCCCTCGCGGCCCGTGGGCGGCCACGCGGCCGGGCGGCGCGCGGGGGGCGGCGGGGCTCGGGCCGGCCGCCCGCGGCGAGCGCGGCCCGCGCGGCTAAAAATAGGCCCGCGCCGCGCGCCGGCCCCGCCCGGCCGCCGACCCGCACCTGCCCGCGCCCGCGCGACCGGCGGCGGCGGCGGCGGCGGCGAGAAAATGGAGGCCGCGGCGCACGCGGCGCGGCGCGGCGCGGCGGCCACCCACCCGCCCGCCCGCCCGCCGGACCCACCTGGCGGCGGCGGCGGCTGCCCGTTCACGGCGGGGCCCGGCGCCGCGTGCTTGGTCCAGGGGTTCACCTTGGGCGGCGGCGCCTCCACGAAGTCGCGGCGCGCGGGCCCCGGCGCCGCGCCGCCGCCGCCGCCGCCCTCCTCGCCGTCGCTGCCCGCCGCGGCCGGCGGCTCCCCCGCGGGCGGCTCCCGGGCCCGCGCGCGCTCCTCGGCCGGCAGCAGCGCGGCGGCGCCCGGCAGCAGCGGCTCCACCTGGGCGGCCATGGCGGGGGTGGGGCGCCGGGCCGCGCGCTCCGGCCGGCCGCTCGGGCCTGCTCGCGCGGGCGCCCGCGGGCCCCGCCGGCCTCGGCCGCCGCCGCCGCGCCGGGGCGGCCCGCGCGGGGCGGCTCGGGGGGCTGCAGCGACGCGGACGGCGGGCGCGGGCGGGCGGGCGGGCGGCTCGAGCGACCACGCGATCCGCGGCAGGCGGCGGCGGCGGCGGCGGCGGCGGCGGGCGCGCGCCTCGACGCGGCGCGAGGGGCGGGCCGGGCGCGCGCGCGCAGGGCGGGGGCGGCCGGGCGCGCGCACGCCGCGGCCCCGCCCCGCCGGCGCCCGCGGGGGCGCGCACGCGCCTGATGCAACCCGGAGGGCGGGGCCTTAAAGGGCCCGCGCCGGGCGCGGCCGCGGGGAGCACATGGGCCGGGCCACGCGGCCGCGGGGCCGCGGCGGGGGCCGCGCCCACGCCGCGCGCCCGGCGCCCCGGTGACCTTGGCCGGGCTCCTCCCCGCCCGCGTGCGTGCCCGCGCCCGCACGGCCGGAAGGAGGCCCCCCGCGGGCCTCGGTTTCCCCCGCCGACCTCGTGCCGGGGGCGGAGCCAGCCCCCGCCCCACGGATCGCCGACCCCCGAGACCCCGAGAGCCGGCTCGCCGGCAGCCCCCGCCCCCGTGCTGGCCCCTGAGGCCAGGGTCTGGCGGGCCCCCCCCCCCCGGGGGCATGGCCCGGCCTGCCCTGCAGCCCGCACCCCCGAGGCCACGGGGCCCACGTGCCCTCGGCTCGCGGACAGGTGCTCCTGGACGGGTCACCCCCGGCTGCACGCGCCCCGGCCGCTGGCCGTAGCTCGTGTTCGGGGCAGTCAGTATTCCCGAACTGCCAGGAGAGGGTCGAGAGGCTCCGACCCGGGCACCCCCACGCCCTGCTGCAGAGGACACACCAGACTTCGGACACAGCTACCCCCACGGCCACGGCCTGTCCAGCGGAGCTGCGCTCCCGGGCCCGGTGCTCTCTCTCTCTCTGCACACAGGACAGGGCCGGCCGGGCGGCCACGTGGGTTTTCTGTTGTGTTCCTGACCCCGCCGCGGCGTCCCACCGAGGCACGATCCCCCCTACCTCGGTCCAGTCGCGGCTGCGAGCCGAGAGAAACAGGCGCCGTCCACCTCCTGCGTCCCTCCCAGCAGCCAGCCCGGGCCGGTGGTCTCCTTCCGGTGCAGAGCCCGGGAAGGTTCTGGATAAAGGGGCTGGGAGCGGTGGCTGAGCACGCGTGCCCGTTGGCCCCAGCACTGTCCAGAGGCCCCCATGAAGGGCCACCCCACTCGGGACACCCCTCCAGAAAAAAAAAGGCGAAAGTCGGGGTGCCCAGGTTCTCATCCCCAGACCAGGGTCCGACCCCACTGTGAGGCGGCCCTCCCCGCTCTCCGGCCTGCGGAGACAGAAAACAGTGTCTCCAGAGGGTCAGCTCCGGCTGGGGGGACCACGGCGCCTCGGCTAAGGGGAAGAGGTGAGCCCAGAGGCACAGGGACAGGCCCCACGGCAGCCCGCACCCGACCCCAGGCTTCCCAGAGAGAATCGAAACGAGCTAGAGCACTGGTAGGGCAAACACCTACCTGCTGTGCTATGTCTCCAGCTCCTGTATCTTTGTTTATATGTTTTAGTATATGCAGAACGTGTATGTTTATGTACTGCACCGTGTCACACTTTTTCAATATACAAATACATATATTTTATTATATACACCAACATACTGTATATATCCATGTATAATATACATGATTAGATATTTATATAAAATACAAGTGTATAGGTATATATGGTTCGATTCCCAGCACACCACGTGTTCCCTCAAGCACAGCCAGGAGTGATGCCTGGTGCAGAGCCAGGAGTCAGCCTGAACATCCCCAGCTGTGGCCCAAAAACCAACAACGGGCTGGGGTGATAGCACAGCGAGTAGGGCGTTTGCCTTGCACGTGGCCAACCCAGGTTCAATTCCCAGCATCCCATTTGGTCCCCTGAGCACCAGGAGTGATTCCTGAGTGCAGAACCAGGAGTGACCCCTGAGCATCGCCAGGTATGACCCCAAAAATAATTTAAAAAATCTAGAAGCTAACAACAACAAGCCAATATTTTAGCAACATATATGCTATACATCACGTATGATCTGGATCCAAAATCCTACAGAGGATATATTATGTAGAACATTTATAGGTGATGGTATAAAACATGCCAATGCTGTGTTATATTCTACATATAAAATATATGCTATTTAAATATAGCTTATAAACTTCATATATGTGCTCTTTTTATCTATTTCTATAGATGACCTCCCCCTGGCGAGCAGAGAGCAGCGGGCCTCACGCACACGGGGCACTGCAGGTTCAAGCAGGAGGCTTTACCCTGAAGCCTCTGGCCGAGCCGGCCTTCCCCTCGGCCCAGCCCGTGCACAGCCACAGCCAGCACCGGCCACAGCATGTTTGGCTTGGCCCACAAGGTGTTTTTTTAACTGAATGCAACTGTGGTTAGCTGCATCCAGGGCACACTCCCCAGCCTCGCCCCACCCACACCGACAAGTTTTGGGGAGGAAAGGGGAGGACTAGCGGACCCCGGGCTAGGAGGGGTCAGGGGGTGGCTTGGAGAGGGTGGGGCTGGAGCCTGGGCTGAAAGGCGGGGTGCAGGCTTTCTCGGTCCTGATTGAAGGGACAGGGAACTGTGGGTTCCTCGGTCCTGATTGAAGGGACAGGGGACTGTGGGGACTTCTGATCACAGTCTCTGGCACCCAGGCCTCTCTGATGGAGGAGGAAGCGAGCGGGCTCAGGCATGGCCGTCGGCTCAGAGGCCAGAGTCAGCGCCAGCCGCGATTGCGGATTGTGTAACTCCAGGCCCAGGACGGAGATGTGCTCCCTGGGCCCAGCGCCCACCGGTGGGACAACAGCAAGAAGGGATCAGAGGCAGGGAGCGGCAGAGACGGAGGGCCAGGGTCTGAGCACATATGGGGCAGGCAGGAGGTCAGAGTGACCCACTCTGCAGTAGCACTTGGTTTCCTGATCACTGCCCCCCCCCAAGTACTATTCTGGGAGAAGCCCCTGAGCACCTCTGGGTGTGGCCCCAAGACAAAACAACGGCAGGGCTGAGGATGTGGGGGAGCCCCAGAGCTCTCGTTCTCAGCAGACTGTTGCCAGAGAGCCGGCTTTGGGCCCCCACGGGCTGGTTAGGGTTCCTCAGATTCAAGGAGAGAAATGAGGCAGCTTCCCCGACTCCAGGGGACAGAGCCAACCGCCCGGCATCGGGGGCTCCCAGGAAAACCCCTTTGAGAAGCACCCCTTGGCCTGCCTTCCAGTGCAGGTTGTTTCTGTTTATTTATTGTTTTGTGCCACCCCTGGCTGTGCTCAGGGCTTACTCTTAACTCTGCGCTCAGCGATCACTCCTGGTGGTGCTCAGGAGACCAGATGGGGTGCTAGGGATCGAACCCCGGTTAGCTGCGTGCAAGGCAAGTTCCCTACCCGCTGAGCTATCTCTCTAACCCTGCAAAGTCCCTTTTTATCTACAGACTTCAGTATTCACATTTCTTAAAAGAAAAATGAAGAAAAACCTGAATCTTCTAGAACGTTCCTCCTCCACCAGCACTCCCAACTATGTGGTTGGCAAAGAAGCCAAGCACTGTCCGGGAGGGAGAGGAGACGGCTGGGCTGACGTGGTGGCCTCAGGGCCTCTCCCAGAGGCACTCGTCCCGTGCGGTCACTCGGCACCCAAGTCTGTGTGTCAGGGTGACGTCTGGCAGGACAGAACATCAGAGGCAGCATGTGTGGCCCGTTTTCTGGCACAGAGACCATGGGCTCCTCCCGGCCTGGGGCTGGAGAGCGAGAGGTCCCCCTCCCATGAAGCCCCCACCCCACCCACCTCTCCCAGAGGGCCTCCCCGACCCTCACAGCACAGACCTGCACCCCATCTCCCACGCCCGCCACCCCCTTCCTCCTCCAGCAGAGCCAGGGGCACACTCCCCCCACTAGTATCCCAGTCACAGGGCAAAATGCACACTCACACACACACACACACACACACACTGACACACACACACCCACATGCATACTCACGTGCACTCCCACACACGCACTCCAACATGCACTCACACACATACTCATGTGCACTCACACACACACACTCACACTCAGATGTACTCACACACACGCACTCTCCCATGCTCTCACACATGCACACACACACTCACATGCACTCACACACACATACATACACACACGCACCCACATACTCACATGCATTCATGTCACAGGACGTGCTGGACAGGACGTGAGTGGAGCGATCACCATGGCCTGTCAGCTCTGGCTGGCACGAGGTCGACCTCTGCCATGCTTCTGTTTGTTGGGCTGGGTCTGGGACCACACCTGGCAGTGTTCGGGGGTGCTGGGGGATCAGAGCCAGGCCCCCCGCATAGAGAGCATGGGACCTGTCCCCAGCTCACCCCTGCCTTGAGCTGGACTGTCCCCCAGACACGCCACAGCAGAGAGGGCGCAGATAGGGCCCTCGACACCACCCCTGGCTATGCACTAGAGCTGAAAGGCTTCGTTTAGAAAGTTCTGGAAGGGCTCCTAGTCAAGGCCCAGGGCTCTGAGCCAGATGACCAGGGGCAGAGACAACGCGGACACCAAGCCCAGCACTGCCAGCTACGTGCTGTGTGACCTTGACCGGCCAGCAACCCTCTCTGGGCGTCCATATCCCACCCAGCTGAGCAGGGAGAGCCCCAAGGGCAGTGTGGCCGGCACAGGACCTGGGCGGGGGTGGGGGGGGTCAGCACGGCCCTTCCTGACCACTCTGGATGCTTCTGGACACAGGAAAGGGGCTTAGGGCGTATTTGCGGGGGCCTGAGGAAATGCTCCCCCACACCCTTGGGG